AGCCATTTCTTTGTCAGAGAAACGTGAGTAGCAAGGGAGTGGCGCCTGGGAATTAGCTGTATGAGGCTGGTTTTACTTCTCTTCTAAGGCAGCTGACCTGTATGATCTGTAAGGAGTTACAGTTATGATCTACTATGTTGGGACAGCTCTTTAGTTTGTCCTGGTATGCCGCAGGGAAGCTGTGGTCCCCCAAAGCAATCACTTAAGTAAAATTATTAATGTAAAAAAGCTGACTCCTGACAGCCACACTAAGAATCTGCAGATCTCCACACATGGTTATAAATCTTTAGGACCTGACTGTAGCTGTGTGGTTGTTTTACATGACATCATTGATTACAACTGGTGGTGTGGGAGGAAACCTATGCTCCTCAAACCTCCGCAGAGCATTGGTAGGAAGTAACTACCAACTGGATGTTGACGTAAATACCAACTGGATGAAGACTCAGAATCTCACAATATCCCATGTTGGATGGGACCTTTAAGGACCACTTCCAACCCCTGGCTTTACATAGCACTACCCAAAATTTAAACCTATATCTGAGATCGCTATCCAAAACCACTGCCCTGGGGAGCCTGTGCCATGCTCATCATCTTCTGGTGAAGAACTTTTTCCTAACATCCAGCGTGACCCTCCCCTGACACAGCTCCATGCCGTTCCCTCGGGCCCTGTTACTGCCAGCAGAGAGAAGAGCTCAGCACTGTCCCTCCACTCCATGCAAGGAGGTCACCATGAGGCCTCTGCTCTGGGCTGAGATGACTTATTCCAGCACAAAGCCCTCCCTAAAAAAGCAAGTTATTTAACAAAAGTGAGAACAAAAGGCATGCTCAGACACAGAGAGTTTACATTTGTAAATTACCAACAAAAATAACAGGCATGGGTGCAGCCTCATGTTCACAAATCTGCTGTTAAAAACTCCTATTACCATAGCGTTTTTGTGTGTATAACCTTGCTCAGAGAAGAAAAAGTCTGTTAATTCTGTGCATTTGTCTTATTGAGGGAGGCCTAGCAAGCATCGTGTGGGGCAGGCTTGGGAGGTCAGACAGCATGTCAGTTCTAGATGGCTCTTGCTAAAGGTCTTCAGAAAATTCATGCAGATTTGTCTCCAAGCTTAGGGCCAGCAAACAGAGGAGGTCTCAAGAAGAGCTTTCCTGTGCTGCTGTAGGAGTGAGAGGGGGCTTTCCTAGCTGTGTGGCAGCAAGATCCAGTACTGGCCATTGCAAGACCACCCCCCCATGTCACTTCAGAGCCCCTGCATCCAGGAGAGTCCTTTGAAATCTGCAGCATATGGGAAAAACCTAAAACCAGGGGCTTGGCTTAGTGAGGTGAAAACCTGGGAGCATCTGAGAGGAGCAACTAGCAGCTTTTCCCCAAGAAGGGCAGTTGAGAATAGATCTGAACCTCTTTTTGCTAGGGGTTCAATCATTTCCCCAGTGCTCTGCTTGTTTCGGTTTGAGTTCTGTGTACTAGTGCTAGCCTTCAGGCAGCACCTTCAAAACAAGATTTCAGCTGTCTTCAACTTTTAAAGTGGGTGTTCTTATTTTACAATGAAGTAAAGTTTAGTCCTGTTCAAAATACAGTTTTCAGTATTCTTCTAAAAAGGAAAAGAAAATTTGCTTTGGATTATCCTGTGAACACTTTCATATCTAAAGGTACTTTTCTGATTGTCCTTATCATGGATGAAGTATAAGTAATACTGAGAAAAGAGCCTGTGTCTATTGCTTTGGTGTAGAGGTGATGCACAAAGAAGACCACAAGGAATGCTTTAGCCTAAGTATTATTATGCCAAGTTACATCACTCTGTGAGCTGATTTTATAAGAATAACTGTGCTTGTAAGGGAAGATGTGTTTGGCTCTGAAGAGTAACAACCGATTGATGTTATCAGAAAAGAAGGACCCAGGGTTGTGAATGGATCAATAACAATAACAACAATTGCCATATGATTTATAATAGTTCATGCAGAAAATCTTTTTCAGTTGCTCAGGGTAACTTGTCAGATATAAGACAGCACATGAGGGAATGCCTCATAAAATAATTTCATCAGCCTTTTGAAAGAAACAGGTCTGGAGAGTTGTTCATAGGAAGTATGAATGCCACAGAATGAAAATGCTCTTGCTGCAAAAGTCATGAACATGTCCCAGGGTGGATAAGTCTATGACATTCCACAGTCATAGATATAGATAACTTTACATGAAACATGGATGGAAATGTTCTCTCAATCCTTTGTTGGCTTCTCCTTCAACAAAGAAAATCATCTGTGTCATGGCTGAAAGGGACATACTGCTATTTTTAGCTTTAATGCCTTTAAATTGTTTGTATTACCAATATCTTACTTCTTACTTGATTACTTCAATAGCAGTGAGAATTTGTTAAGAATATTTTGAGGTGCAGAAAGTACCCTATACTCTAACAACTTTGTCATTGCTAGTACATCTTTATTTTCAATAGATGACGCTGGTGTTTTCTCTGAGGGACTATCTACAGGCAGTCGAAAAACAGAAGAACCATGTGGTTTCACACAGCTCATACACTGCAAAATACAAAGGCTGTTGTGGGCAAGTCATCACTTCAAATCACAGACTGTGCAACCAAAAAGGGAAAAAGGGAAAAGTTTTTCCCTTTTGCCACAGGAATATCAGAATTACATGTGATACGTCATTTCGCCAGCTTTGAATACGTCTTAATCTCATTTGTCCCAGATGTCACAAATTACTGTTGTACTGAACGTGAGCATTGCTTGTCATTTTAAGATACGTAAGGATGACAAAGATGGGCAGGGCATGGGAACACCCTCTGAGACTGAACGCTGCTCATCTTTCTTTCATAATAATATGATTAATATGTTTTGTGGTATCATCCTGCAAATGTTAACTTCTCTGACAATATGCCTTCATACAAAGGTGCATTATGACAAAAAGTGATGACAAATCCTTCAGTCATAAACAGCTACCTAAAAGATGGCTGAGCACACAATAAATAAGGGAAAATCATTTTATTTTGCAATGTTGCTTTATCTGAGAAAAAAAGGCCACGTTTATAGAAAACTGATACTATTCTTGAAAGATTGAGACTTGACAAGAGACAAGATACAGACAGCTGAGCAGTCTACTGCCACATGCATGAGTGCTTTTGAAGTCATCATACAGAAACCACCTATCATCCAAATCCAAATCTTTGTTGTCTCTTTTGGAGATTTTGCGACCGTTTTTACTTCAGCTGTGGTAACAGAAGGAATGTTTAAACAGATGTGGACAGGTTGCAGGCACCAGCATGTTGCACTATGGCTGAGCTTCAAATAGTAGCTGTTTTAACATATATATAAAAATTCTGTGCACAAAAACAGATGTATTGTAGCATGTTAGAACTGATAATTAACCTTTAAAGCATTATGTTTAGATTAAAGATAACTGAATTTGTGGCTTGTAAAAATACAGCCCTCAAGGGCTTCCTAAAGTGTCCATTATAAAAAAAGTTTCATTTTTCTTGAAATTGTCCTTTCTTTCTTTCCCAAAACAGCAGCTGAGATGTCATGATAGTTGGCTTTTGCTTAAAGTGATACTTAAATTCAAATGTCAAGTCTGTAGAGACATCTCCTGCTCTAACAGAGACCTGTCAAAACTCCTTAAAGGACTCCTCACAACCTCAAGAACATGATCCATGACTTTACTGCAGGAAGCCAGTGCCAGAAGGCCTCAGCTAGCCAGATCTGCACCAGCTGGAGAAAGAGGGTCAAAGTAGCTGCACCACTGCTGATCTACCAGCAGGCTAATCAGATATCTCCGCTTGTAGATAAGACATGGTGTCACACTGACACATTCAAATTGCTTTCATGATGGAGCTAATGCTTCTTCACTGTGCTGCAGTTCACTGGTGTGGATGTTGCAGTTTGGGTCTATGCAAGCTCAAGACCTTTTTGTGCGCCCTCTTGTACAGTGCATTAATTCAGTGTAAGTTATGAATTTACTTCATATTAGTTCATTACTAATTTATTAATATTAATTCAGCAAAATGATGTGAAATTTGTGATTTAGCATTGATGTGACATTTCATCAAGAAAGTTGCAGTATAATTACAAATCTTCATGAGTACATCAGGTCTGGGCTTGGATGCAGACCTGGCTGACAAAATCCACAAGGGGAGCAAAGGACACTTTGCATTCTCTGTGCTTCACCATGTTTCACGGAAAACAGCTTCAATCTGCAAGTAGTGCAGCTGCTTTCAGATGTATGGGCAACCAAAATACTGGGCTGAGGCACATATTAGTTCAAAGGGAGAGCTCTATGGGCTGTATTGCTTGTGAGAGCTGCCTGACAGACAAACCTGGAGCAGGTCGCAGGGAGGCTGTGGTTCATCTCTGTGTTGCACTTCCAGCACATCACAGGCAGGCTCAGGCAGGCCCTGAGCAGCATGTGCATGGATGGATCCACGTGCAGACTTCCCAAGGCACAGTCAAACCAAAGCCTCAGATTCATTCTCCCACAATGGCTATACCCTTACTGTACTATATTCTTCATGATTAATTCCCATGGTGTTTTCCCTCCTGCAGCTATGTCCATAAAGGATAGAGAGGACACTTACAAGCTCTTTCTTGTTTCTATTTAATAGAAGCCAGAGGATTTTTTTTAATTGATTGTCAAAGATATCTATCATTAATTTTTAAATAGAAACCAAGAAAGGCAGCTTTCAGCCTGTATATGGCAAGTTCCAGAAGAAGCCACTGCCCTCCAATGCAAACAGTTGGCTAGGTTCCTGCATTCAGCTGCCCTGATTCAGGAGCTCAGCTATGAGATACTCCTTTCGCTAGGGAGAGACAGGAAGGAAAGTGTTAAACGCCAAGGGTGAGCAGCACCCGCTTTGTTCCCGAGTCAGCAGAGCAGAGCGGATCCCACAGACAAACCCAGCCTTGCAGCCTCCCCTGGCCCAACTGGTTATTGCTCTGCAGTGGCTCTTACTCATTTGAATTTAGGTGGAGCTGCCTACCTCCCTCCCTCTCGTGTCTGTCCTGATTAAAAAGCTTTTTTTCAGACAGCTTCACGGAGGCTGGCAGGTACGGGTGCTCCTACTCGGGGCGTTTTGCAGAAGCACCCTTTACTTGGTGCGGCTGGGTCAGTAACAGAGTCAGCTTTCCGTGCTCTGCCAGCAAGATGGTGAAGTACGGCCTTGACTACACTCGCTGCAGATGGATCCTACCCCTGCTCCTGGGCATTGGCGTTATCTTTGGCATCATTGCACTGGCGGGCAGGGGCTGGCTGGAGTCACAGACCTTGCCCTATGTGCACCAAGCGTCGCTATGGGAGAGCTGCAGCAGGCCTTCGCAGGGTGGGGAATGGAACTGCGAGTCTCTCATGGGTTATGGTAAGCATTGGCAAGGGCGGCGGGGAGGTCTCTGAAGCAGTGGGTCGCCTTTCCAAGCACATCTCCCCTAAGCTCTCCCAAACATTCCTCCTAATATCTGACCTTGTTTAAGAAGCTGTGGGAGATGGGAACCAGTGCTGAAATACACCGATGCCTTTGAGAAACAGAAGAAAGACAGCGTGTCCTCACCTCTGTGCAGAAAGAAACCTGGGTGCTTTAGACTGTGGTTTGTGTAGTACAATAAACACACATAGTAGTGTATGAGTGCAGGAACTGCTATGGCATTTAAGACTTTATTCCTCTTTTAGAAGAAGCCAATAACCTTTCCTCACTAATCACAACTTTCCAGAACTTAACTACTGCTGAACAAATGTCCAGGCAGCAAGTTGTGGGGGAAGACAATCTTGAGTGTCAGGAAGAAGTTGGGAGGTAAAAATGTATGGTACAAAGATATCCCCAGGGAGTGTCAGCCTGTAGAATGTTGCTCTAGTAGGTGGGTCGTGTGAATGAACCTTTCCATGATTATGAAAGAAAGCTTTGAGAGAAGAAAAGATTTATACTTGCACTGAACTTTGGCTAACTGTGCTATTAAACAGGATGACACAAACTGAAATGTTTTAAACCTGTCCCTGTCTGGGAGACTAAGCCAAGAGAAGGATCATTCTAATTATGCTCTGTTTCTTAGCTGTTTTCTGTATATCTGGTACGTGTCACAGTCTAAAATAAGTTATTGACTGTTAGCCTGAGCCAGGAGAAACACTTGAGCTTATGATTTATGCTGGTACTAATTCAAACTTTAAGGGAGAACATTTTCTCTAAAGCTCAGAATCTCAGCTGCTTTGGCTGAAAATTAATGTAAAACCAACTGTAGATGTAGTCTCAGAGGCTGTTTATTACAGCTTCTTAAAATTGTTCTAAAAATGTATCATCTATGTTCAAATTTTACCTCCTGTGCCCAAAATTGAGCTGTAAAGAGTTAACTGTAGAGGTCTTATGTGAATATAGGGCTCCAGGATAAAACTGGTTCCATCAAGCATCTTGCCCAGTCCTGCTCTCAGTGCTTCTGTGTCAGCTGTTTGGCTGGGATTAAGGCAGTTTGTTGGTTGGAGAGCAGGAGATGGTGATGCCCAGCTCCAAATATGTGTTCATACTGTGAATTGTGGGGGGGAGGGAGGGAGAAAGGCCTGATGTTTCTTACTTAGTATCACCAAAGGATGAGTCCTCATCCTGCTGTCCAGCTGGCCCTGTCTGTGTCACAAATGCCCGTTTTAGCTAGGCAGAAAATTTTCAGAAGTTTCACCATGCTTCTCTTGATAATACAGATGTTTCCAGATCCTACATGGTTGTTCGGCATTTCACTTCCTTCCTTATTCTGCCTCATTCTTACATGCTTAGATTCTGCAGCTGTATGCACAGTTTCCCACTGGGAAGCATCTAAGGACAAGCCAGGTTGCTCATACTTCTCATTTTGGACTATCCCACCACCTATGGAGTTGCCACAAATTACAACCTCAGTAAGTCCCATTTTTCTAACATGCTGGACTTAGGACATACATTTCTCCAGAATATGCTCCAGCACATGCTCTGAGGAGTCATCTGACAATCAATAATAATAATAATAAATCAATAGAAATGCTGTTTGTATGCTGCATGATTGCAGCACACTCTCAATGGGCATGCATCTGCCACTCTACCTCATTAAAGACCCAGAAAGCCCAGGCAGATGCTCAAAATCTCCCTGGAAAAAAAATCCCAAGTGGAGAAGAAGAACATGGCTGAGATAGTTGTTTAGCCAATGGGACAATAGGTAAGGCTTGATCTAAAAAATAATTAAAAAAAAAATGTATGTAGGCCAAGTGACAGTGAATTTTCCTTTTCAAGATGATGACCTTCCAATGTAAATCTAGGCCGTTGCAGGTGTGGTTACCCCAGAGTTGTGGGAGGACTGTTAACTTGCCTACCATGGTGAAAAGTCACCGTCGTGGTCTTTTCCAGCCCTGCAAATGCGGGTCCCTACTCTGTCCTAATCCAAGCATGGTGCTGCGGCACTGTACTGCAGAGCTGTTGTCCTTGTGTTTTATCCTTCTGGTTATGTGATTTTCCTACCCATTGTCTGGGAACCAGCACCTCATACAAGAAGATCTGGGCTGAGCCCTCAGGCTGGAGAGGACCCATGTCCTTCCCTTCTCACACAGGTGTGTTAGCAGGTGTGGTAGCATCTGGAAACACCATTTTCTTTACTGCTCCAGGATACCTTTATGAAACACAGAAGAGTAATGAGGGATTGCAGTTTGTTTTCTCTCTCTTTTTTTTTTTTTTAATTGAAAAGCAAATGTAGCCAGTTGCATGTCTCCGAGGACTGGTCTCAACTTTGGGCCCTGAGCAGATGGAGGTGCTTTCTAGGCAGATTTCCTTCAGGCAGCTTATCTCCAGAGGTGGAGAGTGTTCAGATCCAGTTCTGCCCACTGTACTTCCTATCATTCTGTCCTTGCTCAGTAGGTGTGGTGTTGGGATATCTCTTCTAAGGGCCCTGTCATTGCTCATGTAGCATGCAAGTGCCTGGTGCTCATCTTGGATTCCACTCAAAAGGCCAGAGCATGTAACAGCATCTCGCTTGGAAGTACACTTTGTAAGCATACATCTCACTTGTTTTGCATTAAGCCTGATTTTGTATGCCCTGCTGCTAGAACATAAGTTTCTAATAGGTTACATTTATCCACAAGGTCACAGAAAACAAGCATTCAGTGTCATGTTCTGTGGATATTTATCTTTCTTTTGTGCCAAGCTAAACACCATGCTTGATAAACAAAGTGTAATTACACGCCTTCCTGAGCATGGAGACAAAAGACATGATGTAAATAGCAAGGACAAGAGTATTTTACATTTTCTAGAGATTAATACTTTCATCCCTCCCTCTATCTCACAGTTCCTGTTTGCTTTCCTCTGGGCTTTATTTTCAGCTTCCAAAGCTGGGTAGGTTCTGACATTCAGTCTTACTGTGGGGCTAGTTTCACTGACATACATAATATGCATGTCTACAACAGCGACTGTTAGTGAATATGCCCAACATGGATTGGATAGTAAGATATCTTAATCCACCACAGACATCTTCATCTCATTAAAATTAGATCTAATCATAAAGGTCTTGCAAATCGTTCAATATAGTGTGCAAATTCAGATCAATTTTTCCACCTACAATGTCTATAATTCCCCTGCATCTCTGCTGTTTACCTTAGACCAAAAAAAAGTAATATTGAATATTCTTGAGGTTGGTCATGTTTGAAGAAAAGAAAGCTGAATGTTTCATTGTCACTTTAGTGGCACCATCAGGAACATTTGGAATCTCCTGAATTGTTCAAGTTGACAGAATTCAGAATGTCACAGGGAAGACAGGAGGCCTACACAGTGGTGCTTTTTTGGAAAGCTAGAGTAACTGCTTCATTGGTGCATTAAGCTTCTGTGCACTAGACTGTTACAAAGACAAAGACTTTGTGGATTGGTAACAGGCATAATATGAAATGTAAGTATTTGGGACATGGCTGAGCTTGCAAAGTGCAGAAGTTAAATCCCTTCATGAAGCTGCCATGGCACTCCTTTGTTTTCCTTGATTTTTTGGCTACATCCCTCTCTTGTACAAGGCGTGTCTCAGACCTGAGACCGTTTTTCAATGTGTAATTTATTCCACTGCAGGCTCTGAAGATGTTTAAACATGTGTGTTCTTGGTTGGGAGGAATAACTGATTTTATTAATCTCAGTATGATGCACAATAAGATGAAAAACTTAGCGGTATTTGTCTCATCTCACGTTTTACTTGTCCCTGCAGCCCTTGTGTGTGCAGATCCTGCCCTCAAAGTAACTGCAAGCTCAGGCCTTTAAAGTAGTTGACTCATTTGGATGGTGCAAATAGAAGTCTTGGAAAACTGTTAGGAAAAAGCATTTTTGTGTGACAAATGAAATCCAGATCATCAATCATTTTCACATTATAGTATCCAAACCCAACCTTTTCGTACAATGTTTGGAGTTTATTGCCTGTGGAGAGTAGGAGAAGGTTGAATGATTTTCCCATCTGGAGAGGACACATTTCTTCGCCTTGTTTTCCTAGATAGTGATTAACAATGTTCTATCTCACTCCAATATTATTTTGGACTATGAATGTTAGTGCAATACTGCAAGATCGGATGTCTAGCATAGTATAATAATAGAAAAACATTCGTTCAAATATGGCAACAGATGATTATGTCTACAGTGTAAGTGAAGATAGGGAATGTTGCAAAAGGGATTCCCTTTTTTCACTCAAAGAAATAAACATTCTACTGTAATCTCACAAGGACCATACTGATAAGTAGATTTTCTTGTCTGTTTTGCCTTATCAACCTCTTGGATCCAGAGAAGCTTTTGTCACACTGAAACCCCATTTAGTATTCCAGAAGCAGCATGCATGAGTGGAAATTACTTGCCACCTCCCCCTAGCTAATGATACAGCGGTGAGGTACATGGCCTGGCCCCACATCTGCTTCTGGGAAATTACCTTCTTCAGCCAGTGACTCATCACACCTAGGGCAAAGGACAGACCAGACAGAAGTTTCCCTGCTGTTGCACTGCCTACATAAAATTATTTTGCTTTCTCCCATGTGCCTAGCAGGGCTGACAGCCAGGCACAGGGAAGCCCTTGCTTGGCTCAGGCTTAAGCAGGTACCCTGAGGAGAATGGTACAGAGACATTTCCAGAGAGCTGGACTGAGACACAGCCCACCCTAACAGGATCTGAGAGGAGAAGCTGGCTGTCCCGATTGTTGCTTGGCATACAGGGGTGTATGCACGTAGAAAAGGAGTGAAGCAAGCATATAATTGTGCTTTGAAGCAGGGCCTGTCTCAAGTCAAAGGGCCATTGTTGCAAACTTTCCCTGAAACCAAAGTTCTGCGCTTAAACTCTTCTAGATGATAGTAATATTCTGATAGATTTGTCAATGTGCTCCTAAATATGGGAAACAAAGGCTGGGG